GAGAGAATAAAGTATTTTTTTTTTCATATATTTTGATTCTTTGTTCATTGTTTTTTTAATTTTTTTAAGAGTGTATGGTACGCATTTTACTTTTATTATAAACCCATTTTAAAAACCTTAATGGATGAGTATCAAAATTTTACAAAACTTTTTTTTAAAGTCTATTAGATCGTAAGATTTTAAAACTATTAATGAAATTAGATATAAGACGAGCCAAAATCTTGCTAATTGCTTAATTAGGGTTTATTTCTTTAAAATTATGACAAACATATTAAATATTTTTAGGCTATTTACACACTCCAGCCCCTCCATGTAGTCCTATTTTTTCTCAAGTCGATAAGGGGCTAAAAGAACAACTACTTTCATTCATGTTTCAAAAATAGATAATTTTGTATCTTAAGGTATATAAAAGTAGGGGCAAATCTATGAATAGGAGATGTGCAAGTATCTACCGGACCCAAATTATCAAAAGGCTCTCCAGTGACGTTGAAAATTTGACCGAGAGTCACTCTACCGAATATAATACTTAAAGGAACTCTCATGACAACCACTTCCGTTTTTCTCATTAGACCACCTGTGTGCGTGTGCGTGTGTGAGACTTGTGACACATGAGTAAAAGAAGAGTAACTACTTACATTTAATCTATATATATGTATATATATATATATATATATATATAAACCATAGGCTCATCCATTTTAGGTTTAAAATTTAACATGGGAAAGAGGCAATCAATTTTATTTAATTAAAAAAAAAAACAGCCTTCAAATTAATATAACCACAACAGAATACATATTGAAAGCTATTTTGAAAGGGAGCGATTGGGGTTTGGTTAAAAATTCAAATCCCATCTCTCCTCTCATTGTTCTTCTTTCTCCCCCTCAATTCCCTCAAATTTTGAATTTTGATCTCCATTTCACCCACACCCACACCCACACCCACACCCACCCTTTTTAAAACCCTAATTTTCAACTCATCAGATTCTGAATCTCCATTTCAAGCCGATTCGATCCCTGCTTCAATGGCGAACGCCGACTCTTCCACTCCCTCCACCCCTGCCCCCGCTCCTATGTCAGCCGTGAGTTCCCTTCATTTCCTTCCTTTTCAGTTTCTCATTCATTCTGGCTTTCGGGCTTTATGAACTTTGTTGTTTTTGTTTCTTTCTTGTTCACAGAAAAAGGAGAATCTCACCCCCATTGGCTTGAAAATTATGGTATTGTTTTCTACAATGTGTTTATAGTTCTTGAATTTAACTCCAATCTTCTCAGATTTTGGCTTGTTTCTTCTCAGGAATTGAACGAATCAAGAGCAGAGCTGCTTGATAGAATTCAATTTCTTAAGCAGGTGGAGTCTAAGATATAAAATGCCCTAGCTGTGAGATAAAGTTGGATGTTCTTGGTCATTTACTTGTTTTTGTGCTCTGATTTTGTGAACTTTCCTTGTGTTTGAGCACTTCAGGATCTCCAGAATTGGAGGTTAAAGCTAGACACACAAGTTCATACCTACCGAAGTGTAAGTTAATAATGTATTGCTTGTATTCATATCTTTCTTAAAAGTAGGCTTATCTCTGTCAGAATGCCTTGTTCAAAGATATCTGTGTTTTAGTTTTCTTTGATGGGTCTATATGATCCATAAACAAGTTGGTCATCCAAATGGAGTGTTCGAAAATCGGATCCTGTGGCTTATACTGTGAGATCCCACCTTGGTTAGGAGGAGAACGAATCATTCTTTATAAGGGTGTGGAAACCACTTCCCTAGAAGACAGTGTTTTAAAAACCTTGAGGAGAAACTCAAAAGGAAAAACCCAAAGAGGACAATATCTACTAACGGTGGGCTTGGGTCGTTACAAATGGTAGGACGATGTGCCAACAAAGACATTGGGGCCTGAAGGGGGTGGATTGGGAAGTCTCACATCGATTGGAGAAAATAACGAGTGCCAGCGAGGATGGTGGGCCCCAAAGGGAGAACAAAACATTCTTTACAAGGGTGTGGAAACCTCTTCCCAACAAACGCGTTTTAAAAACTCTGAGGGAAAGCTCGAAAGGGAGAGCCCAAAGAGGATAATATCTGATGGCAGTGAGCTTGAGCTGTTAAAATGCAGTAAACTGATTCTTGGTAGTTCGAAAAGGGTTTCGAGTCTGCTAATATTTCCAGCAGAGGATACTTGATCCCAAAATACCTTGGTCTAGAAGGAAAAAAAGGAACATATGATATTAATGATCCTTTTGTTTGTCACGCATATTCCTGTTCTTTTCTGCTTTTGTATCTGTTTTTCCAGCATCACTTGACATAGACATTCAATCTTCATACAGGAACTGTCTGAACTAAAGAAATCGCTCAACCTTGAGGTGGAGCAACTTCGCACGGTAAGCCAAATGCTTCACCCAGATTGAAAGTGGTAAGGGTAATAAAGTTGTGGCATGAAAGCAGGAATTCCAAGAACTAAGGACAACCCTTCAGCAGCAACAAGAAGATGTGACAACTAGCCTGAGGAACTTGGGTGTAAGTCCTAATTCTAATGACTTTCATACTCAACAAAATACCTCCAACCCGCCTCGTCCCACCATATGTTTTTAACTGCCATTGAAGAAAATTATGAATCCTGGCAGGTTCAGGATGATTCTAAGGACAACAACAAGACTCGACATCAACATCCTGTAGCGGAAAGCAGCGACAAGGAAGACGAAGACGAGGGTAAGAAGGATGGACTCCATGGCTTAACAGAGTGTAAGGGAAATGAAGCTGAACATTAAGAGAATGGAATTTCCATTGTGTTCGTAATGTGGCGAAGGATTTCCACATTTCACTGTTTTTCAAAGCTTTGTAATGGGATTGGTAAGATTTTCCCGGCATTTAAGGAAGCATTGAATTTGTAAGTGTAATTTTTTACACGCACATCAACATTAATAAGTTCATTCTTCAAGGATATATGTATTTAATTTTTGGGAAGCAGGGCTGGTGGTATCGGTTAATTTTCTCATCATCAAAATATCATTCAAGGTTTTTTCTCAACTAGCAAATTGGACTACTCAAAGGCTCCTATGTATTTTCCTTTCTTGGTTCTTAAGAACATCTCATCACTCTTTTTATGAATTATTCATAAGTGGCCAGTAATTGATGAAGTTGTTGCCAACTGACAAACAACTTTAATGTTTTTTTAAAAAAGATCGTCTTTTATCTCTCTTTTTCTGTTCCCAAGGTTTGAATTTTCAATTCTTTTTACCACTGGGGTTATTAGATTTGAATTTTCCATTCTTAATTTAAAAGGTAATAGGTGGATAACTAGGACTCACAATATTTTGGACAACGGGAATTCAAATTTTTGACTTCTTGAATACTCTAATTAGTTGAGTTATCCGAATCAATATTAAGAGTATTTGGCCTAAACCTAAATAAGGTGACTGGGGTTTGCTTGTCCAGAGCGAGGGATTTGCTATTCATCTTTTAAGCTGTGTTCTTCTAAAAACAAATACCTATATAACCAAATACAAGCTAGACATAGAAAATACTTCTCAAACAAACTACATCAATTCTCAAGAATAGTCTACAAATTTAATTTAGGTTACCAAACTCAAAATTCTACCAACTCGATCTTAGATACTAGCTCAACTAATTACGATATATATTATCAATAAAGAGGTAAAAAATTTGAATCTACATACCTTGCACGTTGTTGAACTAACAAAAACCAAATCTACAAGCGGTGCCTCATAATTAAAAGAACAATTAAAAAACGTATGCTATATTTGGTCTGTAAAACTAAGTATATACAAATATCCAACAGAAGGAAGTTGTGTGCTGAGAAACACTGAAAAAGGAAGGGAAATGAGAAAGGAGTTTTGCTGACAAAGTGAGGAAGTACAGGTTTAGTGAGAGAAAAGGGAGAAGTAAATATGGTGCATATAATAAGACCACCTACCATTTTAATATCAACAAGACTTGGAAATGCTACAATACACAGAAAAGCTAAGGCTCTTTTCTTTTTCATCTACATTGTTAATTGTGTTGTCCCTTTACCTTTCCCTTCTCTCTGTCAATCAAACTCATGTTGCGTGGGTATCTCACATGGCGTGGGAAAATGGGACTGCTCTCTCTTCTCTTTACTTTCCCTCATCCATTATTTGCAATTTTGCAACTAAAATTTACTTACTGTGGCAGGCTGGTGGTGGTTGAAGTTGTCATCTTAACTACATGCCTTTATTCAAGGATCATGGCCACACGTCTACCTAAAGGGGATGGCCTTTTTTTGTTTAGACAGTGAAATAATGGTTTAAACCAGGTTTCATACTGTCTGCATAATAAGAGAGAAGATGGTAGGACTGGTAGCTACATTGTAATGACCGTCTAATAATTTTCTGTCTTTATGTATTAGTTATTTCTTTGTTACTACTTTTTGGAGGCTTTTATTCTTGAAAAGTTCAAGAATGTGACAATTATTACAACACAACAATTTTGATCTTAACTTTCAGTTTGACTGTTGTGAATATCTTTGCTAGGATTTGCTTTTGAAATCTTTAGCAATTTCAAAAACCGAACATGGGTTTTTTTGGATAGGATAATACCTGCTTTTCCTAGTTTCGAAAGATTTTAAAAGAATGCTTTTAGGATGTAGACAACTATAAAGGCTAAGAGACCTAATTTCAAAACCAAACTGTGTATCAAAACCTAATAAAAGAAGTCTTAGATGGCTGTGGCAAAGATTTTCAATCTCCAGATAAGGAAAACCCTCACTGGACAATCTTGGTTTTCTTAATTCCTATGAACCATTCTTCATTAATGCCAAAGACAAGAGGAAGTGTTACAGCAAGATTGAAAAGGCAGCCGCTGTGAATGAACATAGGGGTCGCCAACTGGGAGGAGATAAAGAGTATGATACATTTGGTGGAAAGGAAAAAGAATGGTAAATAATGTAATGTGATACAGAAGAAGATTAAATAATGGGTCAATCGAGATTAAAGAGGGAGTAGTTCAGCTAATAAAAAAGACCATTTAATGCATGATGAAGATTTTAAATTGTTTGAGAGGTTTAGAGTTTCCAGGACATTTGTTGGGAGAGAGTGAAACCTGGCAGCCTGCTTTTAAATTCCACTATAATTACGGGGAGAAAGCTAGGAAAGCTGCTACTCTTTTGTCATTTTCTTGATAGACCAGTGCTCTTTTGAACTCCCTTCTTCAATACTATGTATATAACAATGCCATGGAAAGCTGTCTCCTCGACTCCATAGCTTCACTTCGCTTCAATCTCTCCTCTCTCTCTCAGAACCAGAAGATTTTTAGTCACTCGTCTCTTTCTGAACTGGGACTTTCCCTCCAATGGCTGTGGTATGTGCTGAAGCAGCACCACAACCACTTAGAGCACAGGTAACATGCCTTCCCATTAGCAAGTTTTTAACTTTCTTTTCTTCTTCTTTTTCTTCTCCTGGGGTATCCTAGCTCATCCTCTTCTTTTGTTAACAGGTTTGGATCTTGAAAGTTTCTATTCACTGTGAAGGATGCAAGAGGAAGGTTAAGAAAGTTCTACAGAGCATTGATGGTACCATTCCTTATTGTAAACTTTTACTGTTTTTGGTTTCAAATGTGTGAGAAAATTATCAGCTGACAGTCATGATCTCAAACCACTACCATCAGGTGGAATAGATGAAGAAAGTTGAATTTTTTTTTTTTTTCTATGTTAGTTTTCTTCCTAGCCAAACGTAGGAGAATTTGGGTACTTCTACAATTGACCACTGGTCCAAATATTTGGAAGTGATGGCTTTTCTCAATCTTGTAGGTGTTTATACGACCATCATTGATTCAGAACAGCAGAAAGTTACGGTCACCGGAAATGTTAGCCGTGAGACTCTGACCAAGAGGCTCGCAAGAGCAGGTAAACAAGCGGAAATTTGGCCAGAAAAGCCAGCAGAAAAAGAGAAACAGTTCATCAAGATGTTGGCGACTGACAAAGGGAATGGCCAAGAAAATGGAATAAGTCCGAGTACAAACAAAGCTTCAGCAAAGAAGGTTGAGTTTAGAGTCAGCCCTGACAAGAATAACCGTGTAGAACAGATTGAAAAGTCAAAGAATATTGGAAGCTCTATCAAAAAGCTTCCGGCCGGGGAGTCGCCGCCGGTGGCCAACTACAAGGGCAATGCTACTGGACATGAGGGTTATTCTCCAGACAAAAGTGGGGTAGGGCAGAGTGGTGAAAAGAAGAAAAAGAAGGGGCATTCAGGTATTATCAACGGTGATAAATCAGGTTCGAACCCCCAGAATGGACATGGAACACTCAATGTGGATCCAGATGTGGACCTAAAAAATGGTAGCCCACTGGCCCAACAAATATACATGGGCCCTAAGGGTTATTACTTTCCTCCACCTACTTCGGGGTTAAACTACTATGCGCCGCATTTAGTTAAAGGTCCTGAATTGCTTTACCATGTCCCACCGATTCCATTTTCACATTCGAATGACCAGACTGGAAACTATGAGGATCAAGCAAAGCCACAGACCTACCTGGATTATTTCAGTGAAGAAAATGCCCATGGGTGCATCATTATGTGATCTACAACCCAGCCAATCTCAAATCAAAGGCAAGAGATGATGATTTGAAGTGCTAATTTTTAGTAAAACAGCGGAGCATGAATATAGATAGATGTACATTGTACATGAGTGAGGTCCAAAATGGCAGGAAGGTTAGCAAGTAGCAAAGTTTTGAAGGGTTGGGTGCTTCTAATTTTTTGGGTGAAAAGTACTTTAGGGTTATTGTGTTCTCTGTCAAATGAAAACTTTTTGCAGAAGCTTTCTAATGACTCTGACTAGGAGTAATCTATAAAACTATTCAATTTCAAGTTCATCGCCATAGTTCATTGGTGTACATTATTCAGCCTGAGATATTTCTTCTATTTAGAACAAATGAATTCATACATACTTCGAAAATGTGCACAGCATTAAGCATTTTTGGTTCTTACTCTAACATGCCCCCACTCAAATCCAAATCCCTGTCTGTCATTAGCATATATCTAAAGCAAATTCAGCAAAGGGTCAAACAAGAAAATGGTAACAAGCTCATATTATCAGAACAAATCAAAATAGTACGTAATTACCAGAGTTGTTCCATTATCTAGGACCCAAACAATTCAGAAGAAAGCGAAACCATTAGCATTCGAAGGACATTTTTTTTCCTAGTCTTCAGTGCATCTTGGACCAATCAGTTTGCGTGTAAATTGAATTTAGGAGCCATCACTGGTGAAGAAAGATAATTGTCATTCTCCGTGGGAGAAGGTAATGATATTTGCAGGCCAACTTTACAGGGGAGGATGGATATATGAACCATCACAATCACTCGTGAAGTCACGTGTGTAAACAAAGGTCAATGCCAGAACCTGGAAATGTTCTTAGCGGCGAGTGACTTTGTGGGATCAAAAACTTGGTGAATTTTATCAAAATAAGATGTAGAATCTAACAGACCCTAAAAGATGGTGAAATTCTTGAGTTGTATTCTTTTTTTTTTTTCTTTTTTTCTTTTTTTTTTTAAGTATGGGAATGGGAGAAAAACTTGTCATATATGTACCTTAACCACCAAGCTTCGTTTTTCTAGTTGCATCTTAAATTAAGCATATTAACTGATAAAAGGTAGTATGGCATTATCTGATAGATTGACTTCAATGAGAAGGAACAATTATATTTATGAATAGTATTTCCAATTATATCGGTCCAGACCCACCACTAAGACAATTCTTTGTGGTTACATCCAAACTTTAATTGTTCTACGATCTTTGAGCAAACTACATCTAAGAACGACGGAACCTTCACTATAATTAATAGGTATTTTATTGTAAAGGTTCAAGAACCAGATTTGAGAACAAGAGGTTCTTTGATCAGATTTTGAGCTAAATAATGTCAAGAAATATAGAACCCTACCAAAATCCATAATCTCTCACTCAGATATATAAGGGACGAGAACTACCACTACAGAATATAACTATGGAACAAAATGAGCTAAAGTAAGGTGAAAATGGCCAAATTTAGGCTTACATGCTAGTAGATGCCCTTGTGGTGCGCTGATTTGTTCCAAGGATGATTACAATAACAGTTACATCATCGTGATATTTCCTTCTTCTTCCGGCTGGAATGGTAATTAATTCTTCCTTGCTAAAACCTATAAAACAGAAGTTCTTACACCATCAGCACCGGTTGATGCAAACAGAACCGACATTTTAAGTTACCAGCACAAGATTAGTTTACTTCTGAGCAATATTTCTAAGACGCCCAGTATTTCATAGTTTTCTTATGGGGTATATGATGTGATGATAATGAAGAACTCAGCTCCTTTTAAGAACTAGTGTCTTTCGAGGTTAGGTCTGACTTGTGTACAAAGTTCAAGCTGAGGCAAAACTGTACTAAAGACTTCGTACGCAGAAAAGCCTATAGAAAAGTCATGGTAAAAATAAGCGTTATAATACTGCTATCATTTCTCCAGCCGGCCAAAGGCAGATATGAAGGGCAGTGCCCTCGCTGAACTTACACTCAATTTCAGTATCCTTCAATAACGACAAGAATTTATAATATTAAAGGACAGCTCTCCAAAAAATATCCTAGGGGAGAACAGCTAAGAGGATACTATCTAAAAGCAGCAAGGGTACTCCAACCTCAACTTGTTCCCACAGCAGTAGCTTTAGTCGAGAATTAAATGATAGCAATAACAGTCCCTATTTCTTCTTCCTTTTCTTTCCCAATAGTGTCAAAAGTTTTTAATATTATATCCTCTCACAAGGAATTGAGAGTTCACCTTTTTGTTGAACGGAAAGCTTAACATTAGACATATAAGCAACTTTTATCACAGAAAATTAACAATAAAACAAACTGAAAAGTTGACTTAGCTATCAACATCATATGACAAGAAATGTAAGCTTTAAAGACGTCCTATTTTTTTAGCCGTGCATTTATGATAATATCATGGCAAAGATAAGTCAACAAATAGTAAACTTTTACTTCCATAAATGTAAATTGGGAAACGATTCAAACATTCACACAAAGCTATCTTTGGAGCTCACCTGCGCAATTAGCAGCTTTCAATAAGAGCTGCTCCAGTAAATATTTTGCAGGATCACCAGTTGGGTTGCTCAAGATATATGAATGGACAAGGTTCACTGCCTCGTCATTGCCAAAAAAGTCAAATAAACCATCACTGCCAACTATTACAAAGCAATCTGATTTTGATATCCTATGGACAGACAATGCCGGTTGAGTAGAAATATAGGGAGGGCTTATTAGGTTACGAACTCGAAGAATACCCATCAAAGCATCATTAAACTTTTTCTGCAGAGAAATAAATGTATAATAATCAAGTTAAGATGGACTAAAATCGTTTCCAGCAATGCAGACTAGGTGGTATACCTGGTTCACTCAGAAATGAATACCATTTTTAGCATTGATACCACATCAACTTCGTCCTGAAAATTCATGTCCTATATATAATAAAGTGATCATGCATATTGATTTTTCTGTCCAGAGCTGATACGGATTATCAATGTCAGATGATCTCCAAAGTGACAGGAGAAAAACAGATAGAATCCTTACAAGTATCGGTTGGGGTGGTGGTTTCGTATAAAGAATATGCATGGTTAAGGCATAGCTATGGTAAAATATCAAAACAGGTAATTATAGGTTAGCACGAGTACTTTGACAGAGAATGTTTTCTAATAAAAACTGGCCAAAAAAAGTCACCAAAACTCTATTTTGTTTAGCAGCCTGCATGCTTCTTTTATTTATTTATTTTTTTCTGACAGAAGCAACCTGCATTATTACTAGCATATTAAGACAGTGCCGCTATTTTATCTATTAATAAGTTTCTATACACTGCACAAGCAAAGAAATAATTTCGTGTTATATGAGATTTTGGCCATACTGACAGGCACGCAATGTATAACTGTCGCATACCGTCTTCAAGTAGCCAACTCCAAAAGCACGAGTCACCTTCAGTTTTCCTTTGACTTTCCCACCAACAATGATTGTGGGATCATCAGGATGATCATATTGTAACTTCGCTCTTTCGAGTGCATTATCCACAGTGTGACTCTCAGTGAGCTGGACAGCTTTCAGTCCCCTATTCCCTCTCATTGCACCTTCATCAAGAGTAGCCAGTACTGCTCTACTATCACCCAAATTTAATGTATATAAATCCTTTCCATGAAGAAGAACAACTAAAACACAAGATCCAACAGAAACTAAATCAGGACGATCCTCCATTTCCTGTTCAACCATGTGCAAAAAATCATTCTCTGTTTGACTAAGAGCACGCTGGAGGCTATCTAGCACCCCATGCCTTAGAGGATAGTTTGCCATTCCTGCTTTGGCATGTGAACGTTTCTCAAATATATTGTTGATATCTGAAGCACTTTTACTATTGTTTCTCAAAGTAGAAAAACTTCTCTGAGTAATGCTACAATCATCGAGATGTGAATTATCCATGTCCAAAATATCCGAGGTTTCACTCTTAGCTCCCCAATCTAGTAGGCTAAAATAAAACACGATGGTTTCATACAATGTCCCAGCAAGAAAATCAGCTGCATCTCTTCCATTAAAACCGTCATAAATTGCACAAAACAGCCATCCATTTTCTTCGGAACAAACAGCTTGGACCCTGTCCTCACCAGCAGCTCCACCTGCCACTTGCAATTCCTTAACATTAAGAAAACCTTCACTTCCGGAAGGAGCACTCGTGGACTTTAACAAGCATGAATCATATTCAGATGTTGGGGTAGATGGACTGCAACTTAAGTTTGACAGACTACTCTGCAGAGACGTTGACAATATATCCAACCTTGAAAGAGTAGGTGATGAGGGCACCTTACGGAAGGAGTTAGGAGAGTCCCAGGTCGGAAGTATTTCTACTCCTATCAACCCATTGCATATATTTGTGTTAGCTAAGGTTGCATTTGCACTCAAAGCAGCCCCAGATAAGCAAGAGAAACTGCTGATCCTTCGAAGTCCAGGCTGGATCTCGAATTTGTCGGAAACCTCAATTCCATCTATGTTACCATTGCATTTATAACCAAAGCTAACTTCAAGTTCTCCCTCGGCTTTTGTTGAAGCTTCTTGAAGCATACTATATCACTGTTAAAACAAATACATTTCATATTTAAAGCTCTTTAATAATAAAATTGGCCAAGTTCAGTTACTAGGCAACATTTACAATTTTAGTCAGATTTGAAAGGTCACACTGGATTTCCTTCTCTGTGCCACTACATAAATCCAAAGAAACTTGAAACTACGACTTCTAAACTGTGAAGATTATTTTAAACCCAGTATGTATAATATCAATTAATTGGTTGAAAATTGAAGTGTGCACCATTGCTGATGTTAATTGACAAATGCAAATTCCTAACTACATGCGTCTGGTTCCATTCCTACCATATACTCTTTCTTTTTATCGTCTCTCTCTCTCTCTCTTCTTTGGGGGTGGGCGGGCATTTGCTGATCTATATTTCTCCATATTTCCTTTTACGTATATCTCATATTTCTCTTTCATAATTATTCTTCCTTTATATAAAGATCCTTATAGAGCTCCAGTCAGAAGCCATTAAACTAGTTTGCTTAACAATCCACGTGTTTGGCTCCTTTCGTCAAATTCTCAAGTTCTTCTCAACCCAAAAATCATCCAACACATAATCTTAGTAGAACAACGCGACGGGTATTAATCTGATAGAAAATCCATACTCCAATTTCCTTTAGGCCTCAATCAAATTTGATTAGCCCATATGAACTCCTCCAACACTTCTGTTATTTTTCCTTTCCTTTCGAAAAACTAAATTTAGCCATGCAAAGAAAAAATAAACAGTGAAATAATCACACAG